TCAGTCTCCAAGAGTCTTTTGGGGCTCCCATGGCCATCAAGCGACGGACCACCAAGTCAGTTTGCATGGTGGCAACAAAATTCTTGACTATCAAAATGTCTTCGGAAGCTTAAATCAAAATGTCTTCGGAAGCTTAAATCATTGGATGCGAGGCCACAGCACAAGGGTAGCTAAAGCAAGAGTCACACTGTAGATTTGAAGACTTGGCATTGACTTTGAATGCGTGCCAGGAAGACCACTGAAGTAGCCTCTGCCAGCAAGCCAGTTCTGCCCGCGCCTCATCAGTACCTCCGGCCGTGAACAGAGGACTGGGATCATGTGAGTTTATGAGGCTGCTGTGTCAGCAAAGACTCTGAAAGACTTTCAGACCTTTTCCATTGCGTCATGGCTTTCAACACCCCGTGTCGATCACAGTTCAGCCACGTGTGAACACTGGATGTACCAATGCCGAAAACACAAAGTTTCTCCTGGCCAATATAGTGTTTGCGTTGGGTAACACTTTGGACCAGCGTCCACTCTAGCGTAGCCTTTCCTGTGGCAATCCAAAGCTGAGCTTGTAATCACGCATTGATGCAACTTAGCACCAATGCCACCCCCCTGGACACTACGGCGGCGCCGTAGGAGAAGATTTTGGCTTCTTCACATTGTCACCTCACATGTTGGGACCACTGCACAGTTGGGGAAATCAAGGAAACACTCCAACAGGAAGTGAGTTGATCAAGGGAAGCATGCATTGGTAAAAAACCTCACCAAAAGGACAACAAATACAGTATATGTTCCTAAGTCAGACCAATTTACGGACTTCATGGCTTTCCAAGAACTTGTCCACATAACGCTCCACAGCTTTGCGATAGTCATCAGCAGAGCCATTGGCCTTCGCAATGGCATGGAAAGCAAAAGTCCACCAAGCAAGCTGCAGGGATCAGACTCATCATTCAAAACAAGAAAAAGAGAGCCTGTGGCCTATGGGTTTCTAGACACATTCTCAAAGTAAAGTCACGATGCCCAAGGAAAGCACACATTTCTCAACTACCAGCCTGCACGGAAGTAGTGTTGGTGATGTGCGGTTCGATCTTGGTCATGTAAGTGGAGACCATGGCAATGAAGCGTTCCCTAGCCTCTTCCTTCTGAGGGGGGCGCCTGCCAGCAAAGGTGGCACGGTTCTTCAGAAGGGCGGCCATCTCATCATTTACCTCACTGCCATTCTTCTCCGCCGCATTCTTTTCCTTGTCGTCCTTGACAGAGTTCTTGGCCTTCTTGTCCTTCACCTCCGCTTTTGCAGCCTGCGGCTTGCGCTTTCGAGCTGGCTTGCCACCTTCAGGCTTGGATTCTCCTGGAGCCTCTTCATCGGCCACCTGCTCAAAAGCCTCTCCGAGGTTGCGGCATGAGCTATCCACTTCATCAGCATCCTCGCCCTCTGCTGGCAGAGCTTTGACCTCAGCTTTGGCTGCCGGACGCTTCATAGCACGTCCCCTCCCACGGCCACGACCTCGACCTTGCGCATGCTCCTCTTTCTCCTCTGGTGGAGCTTTGGAATGAACTACCTCTTTCCAAGCATCTTGGGCTGCTCGTCTGACAGGCGGAACATCTTGCCCATCCGATTCTGGTGAATTCCGTTGAGTGGCCTCAGGTTCATGAAGCATGGAATCAACGGGCTTGGTCTCCAGAGGCGGCTCCACACGATCCACAGGCTTGGTCTCCGGCTCCACACGATCCACAGGCTTGGTCTCTGGAGGATCCACAGGCTTGGTCTCCAGCAGCTCCACACGATCCACAGGC